AATTTGTTAGTTTTGAAAAGTAATTATTATAGGTAGGTTTTGTGTATTGTTTCCTTCAATTTATTTACTCTTCCAAATTTGTGAATTCCATTTGACCCGTGGTTTCTGTGTGTTCTACCTGAGTGGAAAAGCCAGTGGCCTTGTCCATGTAATTATTTAAATGGAAAAACAAGTAAGTCAGCTTTCTTCCATCCCAATTAAAGAGCATCGAATTGAGAAAAGTGGTTTTACATGGGTATGCAGCACAGCCTAGAAGGTATCATGACATGCGTTGCATCTGCAATACAATGGATCAGAATTTTCTTGCTCCACTTTGTACTGAATTTGGTAATGATGAATGTGGTATAAATCCTTGACTCAAACACAATTAGGGAAATATCGTGGAACTATAATATTGCATACGGGCCATTGGATAGAATTTTTGAACCAACTTTATATTGGATTATTGGCTTCTGCTTTTTCGATATTATTTTGCTCCTTCGATAATTTTTTAAGGGAAAATGGCAATATCCTCTTAAAGCTCAGCTATACATCAAGTATACATGTGGTTCTTGTACTGGATTGGGAAAGGAAGCATGAGTGTTTAACTTTTCGGTTTGAAAAGAATGAATATGACTACTCATCCTGTTTGTTCGACAAAATGTCCGATTAAATTTTCAGCTTAAGAGAAGTCATGGGCAACCTTTCGCACTCTTATCATAGGGTGTTACTTGCTTTGGATTTTATTGCCACCGCCACATTCATTTTAGAGATTCTCATGAACGGTAAGTAATACGTGGAAAGTGCCAGATCAAATGCCTAATTAAATTATTGAAGGCGAGCCTTAGCTCTTGGTTTTCTTATTATCGAAGGCAAACCCATAAGTCCTTACTCATCAAGGTTACCTCGTGATTTTCTTATTATCGAAGACGAACTCTAATTCGTAATTTTCTTATTATTAAAGGCGAGGCCGTAAGTCCTCCCACATCATCGTCTCTGTATCAGCTTCATCATAGTGGCTTATATTTCAAGTCCGACCCGTATATAAATACTCAACTCAGACTTGGAGGACTATCGTGATACTAGTATCTTAGTATCATTATATTATTACTACTAGCATGTGCATTATATTAACTACCATGTACGCATTTCAGATCATTGCTAGCATGTCACAATACCATTTTAACTATGGTTAGTACGTATGTCACTTTATCTACATTATCATTTTATAGGCATCGTGTAGCTTCACGCTAGCAAGTTTGATCTGATCATCATTTTTCCTTATTTGGAGGGGCAAATGTTCACTAATTTGTTTTGTATATGTGTAGTGAATAAATTGTATTGTATTACATGTTGGTTTAGGTTATATTACAAAGGAGATATGCCAAATTTTCGATAAATTATATACGGTATCTATCTTTCAAAGCAATTTGTAAGCCCTCGCTTATTTAGACTCGCAAAGATATTTTCGAGAAAGTTTGTAAGTTCTCATATATCGGAATGACTTATATTATCATTTTATATATATCTTTGTCAGGTTGTTGATTTGATCGTGCAAACAGTTATCAAACATTTTTCTCGATGGAAGCCTTTGTCTCCTAATGAAGTGTTCGAGTATGCAAGTCATGCCACGTAGAGAGGAGGTGATCGAAATTTTGTTGGCGCAATTTTTGAGGTCAACACTATATGTTTCTTATTAACAAATATTCCTCCTTGTTAGTAACTTATGTTTGGCCCCTGTTTTTTTGAAAATTCATTTTTTTTAAAACTTATTTTCAACCACACATTCTCTCATAAAATAACTTTACACGTGAACTCTTAACTATACATTCTCCAACAAAACACTATTTCAAAATACATTTTAGCCAAAAAAAAAAGGGAACTCAAAGAGGGTTAAATATTCCTCCTTGTTTAGAACCAGGGTAGTTTGATTAGAGGGAAAAAAAATTGCATTATCACATTCACACAGTTCGAGAAGGCAACATGATAGCTAATAATTTAGCCTCTGTTTAGAAAAAAATTATAAAAGATATAATTTATAAATAAATAAATATAAGTGATAAATAAATGCACTAAAAAAATATTTTCAAGAAGCAGCATGACAATTGATAATAAAGCCTCCAATTTGGAAGAAATTATAAATTTATAAATAAATAAAAATGAGTTGTGAATAAGTTTATTGTTTTTGTAGGTNAGTAATTTTTATTTAAATCGGTAGCCCACGATGAATATAATTATATAACATAATGTATCCTAACGATTTATTTAGCTAAGTTAATTAATTTTTGTTCCTTTTTTTGCAGCATTGGGAGTCTAGGGTGGTAATTGTAAGAACCCGGAGTGCAAAATCTGACAGTTCAATCAGCTACATTTACTAGAACTCAAAACCTGGTTAGAGTGAGGACATGGGCCAGTCCAAGCAATGGATTTGTTAAATATATTCTTTTCCAGCATTTAGTCATGGTTAATGTCGAAAACCCCATAATTGTTGACCAAAATTACTGTCCCGATGACCAAATTGCCCTAATCAGGTAACTAAGACAAAGGGACTCCTTTAAACAAATAATAACAATAATCAACGAATTTACACCATTCAATTGTAAATTAATTCTGCAAAGTTTTCATATGAATAATATTTAAAAACAAAAATTCTTGGTACTTAGTGTAATCTGATATCCAATTATCACATGATAGTATATTGCTAAATCAATATCCAATTAGGGGATATGTTTATTTTATAAGTTAACCATCGATGGATTTTTTCAGTTAATGACAACTGAAGTTATGATGGATTTGAATATATGACTTTATAAGGAAAATGAAAATTCAATGCTCATCTAGGATGCTAAAACTATTCATAGATATCACTTGCAAAAAAGTAATGCACAAATATGGGTAAAGGAAAGAGGTGGTTGGGTAGACTCAAGGCAGAGCTAGGGCCCGACCAGCCTTGCGGTTGCTCGTGTTGGCTACGCTAGAAAATTTTATTTTTCCTTATATTGGGCAGCCTCTGTGCTCACCTGGATTCCTGAATCTATCATCCGTGGGCTCATTTGCCTATTACACCTCGTTATTAGTGTAAAAAAAAAAATTCTAATAAAATTACGACTATAGAATGGGATGGTTAAATGTTTTTGAAATGGTAACGAATATAAAAAGTAAAAAAATGAGTATTTTCAATATTGGTATAGGTTCAATAGCAAATATACTTGTAGTTTAAAGGTTTTCAACTGAAAGCATGAAATGTGGATACAAATATATTACTCGTTTTTCTTTTTAAAGGAAATTCTCTTAGATGAAGATCCCGTGAACTACAAGAGAAATAGAAATAGATACACAATCAAACTAGCAGTGCATATTGACAGGCGAAATAATAGTAAATAAACCTAGTTTATGATCTACTTCATTATCCTCATTGGACGTAAAGAAGCACGACCTACGACTGACCAAAGATAAGTTAGCGACAATATCCAATAAGACATGACCATTTGGGAATAGGGCCTGAAAATTGCTAGTTCAACTCTAAAATCACCTAATATGTGAATAACGCGGAATTAAATTTATCAGTTAAAAGCAATAAGTCACTTTGTAATTGTTCTAGACGTTTATTCAATTAAGTCAATATGTTAAATTGCTACAATAAATAATTAAAGTAGTAAATAACACAAGATTTGATGATGAAGAAAACATTAACAGGGTAAAAACTCAAGGATCAAGCCAGTAGTTTCCATTATAGAAAATAAGAACTTACAGTAGGATGCAGTCTAGAAAACCCATTAGGCTAGCTGATCTAATTCATGCAATCTCCAAGATCCACTGGAATGTGCTTCAGTTACACCTGTTCTCGATCTTCTGGAATTGTCTATCCCCTATGGAATACCAATAAAATTTCATTCTTGTATTCGTCATGTGATTCTGGTCCAACCTCCCTCAATCTTGAGCAACTTCTGAAATCTATTGAGAAAGTACCTTTCTAATGATATCTAGGAAGTTGATGTTTTTAATTATATGAATTTCGATGTTTTTTTTTTTCTGAACTTGTGGTTGATTGATCTCGAGAATCAAAAGGTTAATCTAGATTGTTGAATGTATTCTTGGATCTTGGAATGATGTTATGAAGATGTAAATCAATGATCAACCACACTAAAAAATGTACTAGGCACTAGATATTTATAATAAGAGGAGTTTAGGTAGTATATGATGGATACAACCTTTGAAAAATGAAAATTAGGATTACTTGGACAACACCATCGTTCGAGTACCAGACTAGCGATAGGTGAGCGAGAGATGAGTAGCTCGAGCGAGAGTCGGATGACAATGATTCTGCTTTGGACGCTTGAGCATCGGCAAAGCGACAAACTAGCGTAAATCTGTCGACTCTTTCTTCTCCTTTCATATTCAAACCGAAAGACTCCTAATTCATCTACACAACCCTCCAAAAGACTCTTTGACTTTTACAACTCTTTTGTAATAATTTTATTCTTTTACAATAATCATTTTGTCTGAAGAATTGCCAATACAACTAAAAACCTAACAATCTTCTCCTTTGTCATTCTGTTGTAAAAATATATAATACAAGTAAAGGATGTAAAAACAAAATTAATCTACCCAAACTTAAACTAAATGTTTGTCTATTGCATTTCTTGAAACCTGTTTCCTGAAATCAATAATTCAAATACCAAGCGTAAAAGCATGTGATATAGGAAATATAATAATTGAAATAGACTCTCATCATATGCTAGCTAGATTGAGAAGCAATACTAATATTAATCAAAACACCAACTTAAACATTAGTATCACGAAACATCAAAACTAAAAAAGCTAAACCTTAAAGAAATCTCCCAAAAAAATCTCCCTCTTACTATAAAATAAACTAAATTAAGGTCAGTTCATTTTTAAGGTCACCTTACCAATATATAACGGCCATCCCAAATCCCACACATGATTTCAAGACTTACTCACAAGATCATAGTATGTGCAATTTCGATAGTATATGAAGAAACATATACTAAGTACTCCATATCAACTTAAACAAAGTATCGAAAAATATGCCACAACACATCAATTAAAAACTCATACTTGGTCACAACATACATGTTCAAGTAAATTATATATCATGTTGTAATAAAGAATCCCCTCTATTTTTTATTTTTCAATTTTTTTATTTAAAAAAAAATCAACTTACCTAAAAAGTAAAATTAAACAAAAAAAGGAAATGCATGCACTAATGAATGAATCGATCAAAAAGTGTAAGCATGTATCAAAAGTATCTAATCAATTAGGTATACAAAATGCTCTTACCTTTAAGAGCACAATGATCATCTTCTAATTTTTTCAGATCACTCTTTTTCACCCAAACCTAACTAGTGAAAGACTTATCCCGAGTCAAATTTTTCATAAATTTGGTCAAATGACTTACTTGATTAGTAAGGAAGTCAATTTGGCCATCAAAATCCTAATTTATAACTCTACTTAAATTCTGATTTCTATTTCTATTTAGAAATTTATGACACCAAGGCCTTATTAAGATTAGGTTGGTGGCAAGGATAAAAATGGTTTTGAAAGTACTAGCCCTATTATGATCGGTCTGATTATATCTCAGGCCTCTCTTATTCCCAGCGGGCTTGTTCAGTCCCAAAAGATTGTCCAATTTTTGAGATCTACTGGAGAAAATAAGAAGTTGAGACTTGGAATCTTCAAGTTCGTTCAAAAGGTTCTTGACCTAAATTTCTAATTCTCAACGATCAGTTCACTAACTCTCCTAGAGGTCTTCTCAAGTTCACCTGTAATATCTTTATAGTTTCAAGGGATTGATTTACAATTTCTAATTTGTTGAGCCACAAGGTAGACTCTTGAAGATCAGCTGCAAGTTTCTCTCTAATTAACTCAAGCTCATTGACCTTCTTAAGCACAACTTTATTCACCTTCTTAATCTTAATACTCTCTTTAAATAATTTTTGATATGCATCACAAATCGCATCCTCATTTTCAGAATCATCCTCAGATCGTTCTCCACTATCTACTTCTTCATCATTCTCACTGTTCTTATCGGATTCACTTTTAATCCTAGCAGTGAAGGCCATAAATTTCCCACTCTCCTCATGTGTAGACATCTCACTTTGATTATCCAAGCTAGACTTATCATCAGTGAGAGTTGCATTATAGTTTTAGC